CAAGTAGGCAGGTAGGCTCCTGGAGGGTTTTTTCAGCTTTGCAATTGATTGACTTTCAGAGACTAAGTTACTAATATTTAACTTTAATAGTTCTCTTCAAAAAAAAAAAAATCAATGATTTACTACTTGTGCAAGGAACTGAGACTTCTGTACTGGAATTCATGAAAATTAGAGAGGAATATTTTACTTCTGGCATTTCTGGCATGCGAGTCTGCAGACTGAGTTCCAAGGCTTTGCCAAAGCCTGAAAACTGTCAGACAATAAATATACGACAGTCAAAACAGCAACAGGAGAGACTGAAAGGCAGAATATTGGTTAGAAATTCTGCAGATACTGTGCCTTTCAGTTTTAGTCTCTTCTGAGCTGGTGGGCGCAGTTTCTGAGATAAGTCTGTTCCTTTCTTGGTCACCCCACCTGCCTCCAAAATGGATTGTAGCTTCCTGATGTCGGAGATGCTGCCACCTTGAGTGATTTGTCTTTGTCATATTAAAGTATCTCTGAACTCCTAAGTGCACCAATGCCAACAGCCATAAACTCCATGTGTTGTTAGGATGTTGTGTATGTGAATGAATGTTTAGGAAATACTTCAAGGTGTTATTGTTTTATTATTTACTGTGAAAGCTCCTGTATTGCCAAGGGAGAGGAAGTGTTTTCATTTCATTCTGGATGTTCTTCACTATCTGCGTTTTTGGGAAAGAGAATTGTTTGAGCTGTTTTGGAAACTTACTTTTGGCAGCTGCGTTGATTTCAGAAATGAAGGGGAGAAACACAATAGACCCTTCAAGTCTAGTCTCAGTTACCAGTAATTGAGGAACTGTATTATGAAACAATTCTTCTTGATATGTTTATTTAAATCTGTTATTTAATAGATTTATTTTTTTTAATGGCAACTAGTATTTTTACTTGCAGAAATAGAAATGAGTTTTAACTATACTGTCTAAATAGCAATTTAGTGATGACTGGACTCAGTGTTACTGTATTTATTGCAAAGGTGAAAATTATTCTCATGAGCTCATTGACATTATTATCTGGATAATGCAATTCTGCTTTTTTGATTTAAGGTGTTTCTATCTAACTGTTCAAACCTGCTACATTAGCAGAGCTTTAGGGCTGTTGACTTAAAAACACATATAATCTGTTTTGCTCATGCACTGTGTATCGGGGCTGAGAAAGATACCAATACTTTGGATTTAAAAGACATCCTTTGCATCTCCTGTATTCAGGACTAGTTTGTCTCCATTAAAAAAAAAAAAAAAAAGAGGGAAGAAGAAAAAAAGAATTGTTTGGCTTTGCTTAAGTTTCAAAATCCTGCTTAAAAAACCAACTGAGAGAGGATGGATGTTTAAGACAATCATCAGGGTATTATGACCATGCACAGGCAGTCAGAGACAGTTGTTGGGTGAATTGGCGAAGCATATTTCCTGGAAGACTTCACAGAACTGGAGAGCAAAGGCGTCTGGACAGCGTAAGGCTTATTCATTGTGTCTGGATGGCTTGCAGAAGAATGTCATGGGTAGGGAGGTGGATCAAGGGCCAAGTGGCTGCCTCTGTGAACTGTTTCCTCCTGGTTCCTTGTGACCAGCCCCAGAATTCTCTCCTCCTTCCCTCTGGCGTGTATCAGGGTGGTTGTTTTTTCATTGCATGCCGAAACGACTGAAGAGATGCTTGTTTCTTGGTATATTGAGGAGAGACGGAAATGTATTAGTGTGATTGCACTATGTATGCATAAAAGTATTGGGCTGGAAAGGTTCTCCTGGTTCCTCAGGGCAAGTGCCAGGCAGGACTTATATTGCTTAGGACTTGAAAGCCTACTGTGGCTTCTTTGCTAAAACACGTCTGTAGGAAGTCATGGTCAACCTAAAACCATCTAAAACTGGAGTGTGCAGCTCTGACGCAGATTGAGACTGATGTGGCTGCTTAAATGGTAGAAGTGGTTGAAATCCATAGGACAGTGGTTGTGAGAATGCGTATGTGTTGGTGAATAAAGTAAACTAATAAGCCTCAATGTGCTTTTCATAGGCACAGTTTAAATTTTTTCCATTTTACCTTCAAAAGTAAGTATCTAACAAAACATTTTGTACTTAAAGAAAATAAATAGCGAGTCTCTATTTTCCTGCCAAACGTATTATCAAATGTCTTGGTTGAATAGCAAGCTACCGAAAGGGCCTGGTTTTCTGCATTGTGGGGGTTATGCCGTTTGATTTAAATGCAGTGTTTCAACCTTTGTATCCTTCTACAAAACTGCAAAACAGTGAAGGAGGGGAAAAGAAAGTGATTCTGCTCGAGCAAGGAGCATGTGAAAATAATATCACACGTAGGTTTGCGCTTGTTGCCTTTGCAAGAGTAACCAAGTGCGTGCTTTCAGCCTGGTCAGAGGGCTTGCTGGAGATGGAAGGGATGTACAGCAATCTTTTCACTCTGGTGACTCCTAGTTTGTCCCTTCCTCTTCAGCCTGCATGTGCCTGATGTTGGTCACAGCAAACTTTCACTGTAGTGTGGCTGGAAGGGCCACAGCAGCAAGGTGAAGCTGTGAGGTGTCAAAGAGGTGCAAGAAGCCGAGGAAATACTTAGTCCATGATGAATTCCACTCTGCGTGCCTGTCTTCGTACCATTAGCTGTGATAGTAAGGGTTACCTTTGGTTTTCCTGTGCAAGCTGCAGTGTGGATGTATCCTTGAACAGTTTGAAATGAAGAAGTTCCTTCTCTGTTAAAGGAATTTTTATCGTATTAGAACAATTTTGTTCCACAATGTAAGTGCATATGCCGTGATGTTAGGATTGTGCCTCTGTGTTACCATAGTGAGTGGAAAACAGTTCTAGCAGGTTTTGAGGAGCAGTGTATTAGGCTTGGACAAGTCTTCCATCAGATGACCTCCTTGTGGCCGTGCAAAAAAAAAAAACCACCTGGCAAGCACCCAGATCTTCTTTTAGAGATAAGTATTAATTGTCTGCAGACTGTCTGACAAGAAGAATTATTATAATTAGAGGATATAACTGTTTATCTAATCTTGCTCCTTTGCAGCCTTGCATGCTTTTTCTGAGCCTGGGTTTGCCTCGCTGTGGTCATTGACAGAGAATAAGGCACTGGGGATGGGTGGTCGGTACCTCTCCAACTGATAAACCCATTCTGCTTGCCAGAATGAGGGGTTTTTAATCATTTCTGCCCCTAGAGCATTTGCTGCCTGGCTAATTTCGTGGCCCTACGGTTCAGCTGCAAGACGTGTGTGTGGCAGTGTTAAACAGCCTGTTTCACAGCGTGCAGTTCATCGGCATCCTCAGGGCACAGGGGCATTTTCAGATTTAAACCCCGTTTAAGACCTTTTTAAGCTCCGTGGGCTTAACTGCTGCGTAGATTGTTGCCTTGCAGAAGTGAGGTAGTTCGACACGGTAAGAATAATTGGTAGATTATTTTTGAAGAGGTTTGGGTTTTTTTGGTTTATTTTACTTAGTGGATATTTTATTTTTGGAAAGGAGACAATGACTTGCCGCAGTCTGGGAAATGTGAGCTTGAATTTTGACATGTATTCTTTTTGGATGCAAGTCACTTAGGACTGAGAATTACATTGCCAAAATAAGTGGGATCTTTATAGGTTTCTTTGGGATCATGAACGCTCTCTACCTCTGTTTAGTAGTTTTCCATCTTGAGAAGGGAATAATCTGTTTGTATTCATAAATGTTGTTGTGGTTTGTTCTGTGCCAGGCTGACCTGAAGACTTCTCGTAGTTTCCGACTTCTTGAGAAGTCTGAAAAATGCATCAGCATTAAACCCTTGACTCCTCCCCCAATACTTTATTTTCTTGAAAAAATGTCTTGCTAATTAAAAGGTGATTAAATAGTTTCCTGACTTTCTGTTACTGTGCAAAGAATTTGTTGTGGTTACATAATGATGAGAGAAATCTAATTCTTTGAGTTAGTGTTTTTCTCATTTTTGGGAACTAAGCTGTATAGTTTTGAGGGGATTTCTTGGAGCCTTGCTTAAATTTGAGAAACTCCAGAAAGTTTACCTGATTTTCCTGGGGCGTAAAGAAAATGTTATCACCAGCTTCATATGCTTCACTTCTGGGATTTGCTTATGATGGTAATTTTCAGTATAGTTTAGGGAAATTGTGTTAGTGAATGGGTGCCTAAAGTAAAACTCCTGGCTAGGTTGCTTCCTTCCAGCTCTAGGTGGACATCTCCTCCAGGGAGTATAGAAACTCTCTGGAGTTTGCAGAGGCCTGCAGGAACCCAGTAAATTACCTTGGAGCTTTTTGCCTTTTCCCTATCCCATATCTGTTTCCTTTTTTTTCTGCAGAGACGAGTATCTGTAAATGTGACTCTCTTGGTCGTATGTGTTGTTAAATTGCACCCTGTGATTCCTGGAATTTCTGGGATGCTCGTGATAGCTGCTCTTAAATTTGAGGCAAGGAGGACTGAACTATGTAGCTTTTTGAGTCTCCGTTCTCTCATTCCATGCTTTAGGATAGGAGCTTAATTACAAAAATGAACATGTATGTACGTACTCTTGGGCAACTGGCTCATGGTGGGCCTGCTTGAGCAAGGGGGTTGGACAAGGTGACCTCCAGAGGTCCCTTCCAACCTCAGCCCCTCTGTGATTCCATGAAGAATCAGTTCCCTGTGTGTAGTATATTTAGTTAAATAATGTTATGTTTAAATGAATGCAGGCATGCAAGGAATGTACTGCTATGGAAAAGAGATAATTATGTAACTACTATGAGGGAAAATTAATCATTTTTGCCTTTAATTGTGATGTGTCACTGGGCTCTTTGTGATTGTTTGCTTCACGTTTTAAAGCAATAGTATCTACACAGAATGTGCAAACTGGTTGTGTTTGGTTTTTGAATGGGAAAGTGAAAAGGGATTTCATTCTTAAGGTCTGTGCTTAAAGCTTAAGTTCCAAAAAATCATTTTATGGAAAAGCAACCTATAGAGTGCATTTCCTAATGCGCAGACCTGGTGAGGTAACAGGCAGCACTCTCAAAATGTGTGTTTTCACTTTCAGGTAATTGAGAATGGGTCCTCAACGATGCTAAGTCTACAATGGGAAGTGTCACACTTCGCTATTTCTGCTATGGGTGCCTTTTCACATCCGTGACCTGGACGCTTCTGCTCTTTGTTTATTTCAACTTCAGTGAAGAGAACCAGTCCTTCAAGAATGTGCCCATCAAGGGGCTGGAACCTCAGAGGCCGTTTCCAAAAAAATTCTACCCCCGTTTTACGCGCGGGCCTGTTCATGAACCTGAATTGCAACAGAAAGAGAATAAGATAGGAAATGGTCTTGGAAATCATGTCCAGGACCCAGTTAAGGGAGAGGCAGAATTCTCTCCCGAAATGGGTAAGTGGTTTCTGGTGCTGGTGACAAAATTATTAAAACAGTAGAGGAAATGAGATACTAAGGTTGTCTGGTTGTTTTTTTTTTTTCTGAAGGATTGCAGGGAAAATTGTGTAATGAAGTAGTTTTGTTTGTTAAAATGCAGATGGTACTTGTGACTCTCTTCACTGGGAATTACTTGAGATTTATTCTATTGTGTTTAATCCAAAATATACTGTTCCTAACACTTACAGCTGTGCGGTTGAAGTGCTAATGAGCAGGACTGGATTACAGCAAGGTGTCTACCCTTCATGTAGGTCTTGCTTTTGGAACGTTCAGTGTACGCTTGTTTCATATCTTACTCCTGTGTTGACTGGGCTCAAATACATGAGCTTTTGTTAGCCACAGAGAAACTTCACTCATATGCAGAAATTAAAAATAGCTTGATAACAATACACAATGAAGAGGACCCGTTGATTTGGAGAATATCCTTGGAGTATGAAATCATCTACAAAAAATGCATATGGGACAAATTACAATGAAAGATTTATTGAGATGACAGTGGTTAGGGCCAAATCCTGCTTACTTTGCACCAACAAAGGTCTGTGTGTTTTGTTGGAACATATTTCATCAATGAGATGATTTGGGTTTGTCTTCCAGGCTTGCCTTCCAAACTAGAATACTTTGTATATTTAGCTGCTTGTATATTTAACTGCTTGCAGCTTCGTGTTCACTGTTGTGTTCAGATGTGAGGCATGTTGCATCCTGGCCTGCAAACTTGCTTTAAGTCTCGAGGCAGATGTTGAGTGTTGTGGTACCAGTGCCTGCTTCTTTGAGTGTTATGGCACAGTGCCCTTCGTAGCCAGGAGTTAATCTGATTCAAGTCCTCTGTCATTACTTTGGATGAATGCAGCTTCAAGAGTTTATAGAACTTTACCAAACTTCAGTTTCCGAGTTGGTCATTAGAGTTGTGTGAATATGTAGGAAAAAAGCCAGTTCACGTTGTGGCCTTACAAATGTTTACCAGTTCACTGCAAAAAGCAGGAGAGCTGAGTGAGGTGAAGGCCAGTCCAGAGGTGGTGATTTCTTTCCAACTATTCAGTACCAGCCAGGAAAGAAATTGGACCTTTTTAACTGAGAAGTCCCTTGATCTTCAAACCAAGTGACTGGTTTGGTTGGTGAAAGCCAAACGGAATGATAGTGCCAGGATAAATTCTACATGAATCATCAGGAGACAGCTGGCTCTCTGTTAGGATTAGATCAGGTGCTGCAGGAAAGGGCTTCCTGTCTATCTGGGGTAGGATAGTGATAAACACAAAGCAAAAAAACACAAAGAGAAGAAATTTGACATATGATAGCCAAAACCAAACTGTCGTCTGGTAAGACAATCTTCCTTTCTTTTCTTTTCTTTTTTTTTTTTTTTTTTAATCTAGGAGAGCCACATAACACTGCAAAGCCCTTATTTTCCAAGGGCTTTTGTCTGCTGTTTGGACTGAAGTCTTTCAGACTTTTTGCGTGCATTTTGGATGTTTTTCTTCATGAGAATGTTTTAAAAATATTAGCATTCCTTCTTTGTTCAGAACATCAGAAAAAAGTAGTTAGTGGTTGGTTATGGAAGGATTGTAGAAGGAACCATTTTAAGCCTGTGCTTTGTATAAAGAAAATGTGTTAATTCGACCCAGTGGCTCGGTGTTACTGTGACACTGGTAAAGAATGATTGAGCTGGGTGTCTGAACCAACAAGTTGGAAATCTTCCTTTGGAAACGCATGTGGTTCAAAGGAGGACTGACCGACTGCTTTAGACCACTGAGGAGTGCCGGAAGAGTGGCACTGCCACTGGGAACAGACCTCATTCCTATCCCCGTGATGCAGCTTGTCCACAGTGGGAGCACTCATCAATGAGCATGATAGTGTCAGGCACCACAAGACGTACCATGTGGGTGTATCCCATGGCTTTTCCAGATGCCATCACCCAGCACTTCCCACTTGCTCCTGCACAAATATCAAGACATCTACTCTTGAGGTGTTTGATAGTGCAGCTGCATTGCCGTTGCTGTTCTCAAGATTAAAAGCGACAGGGTGGGAAAAGTATACGGTGGGAATGTGGATGCACAGAATTCCTGTTAGAAGGTCATCTTAAACCTATAGGTAGATTTTGCTGCTGAAACACAACTCATTCTGACAGAGCTGTGCTCTGAAGGCCAACCAGGACTACTTGTATGAAAAGGAAGAAGCTTCAAAACTTTTTAAAAAACACAATGGAAGAAAAGGTCATTAAGCCATCTCATTTTCTCTGGGCTTGAGCTCAGCTGGCTTTTACGTAGCTGTTGAAAACTGGTGAACATGAGGCATGAAGAGAGGCTGAGAGGTTTTGGTTTATTCTGCCTTAGAGAGAAGGCTAAGGGGTGAGATTTCATTGCTGTCAACAAGAACGTAATGGAAGGCTGTAGGGAAGATGAAGCCAGACTCTTTAGAGAAGTGCATGGGATTATGTTAAGAAATTAAAGCAAGGAGGAGATTTCCATTAGATAAGAGGAAAAAACATTTTCAGTGCAATGGTGGTCAAATGCTTGAACTTGGATATGAAAACACTGTAGAATCTCCATCCTTGGAGATACCGAATGCTTTCAAAACTTAGCTGAACCAGTTCTGAGCAACCTGATCTAATTGGACCTGCTTTGAGCAGGGGTTAGACCAGATGTCCCTTCCAACCTATGTTAGTCTATGATTCTGAAACATACTATCCTGGATATATTGTAGTATGGGAATGAGGAAGCTCCTTGTTAATTATTTTCTGAAAATTTTGAATCAGAGATGATGGGCAGAGTGGAAGGAGATAAATTACATGATCCTTGCTTACTACTTGTACTGAAATTTCAGTGAAATTGCCTTGATAATGGCTGAAGAGGACATATGCCATGCTGAACAGAGACAATAAAAAGTCATTGCTCTGCTGCCTGAACTGTTGCAGAAGTGGCTAGCAGACACAGGTGGTGACTGCCACTTCCCTCCTCACCCACCTTTTTTTCTGTAGAAGAGTTTAGTGAAACACCAGAATATGTTGTTTCTGTTCACACTGGTAAGTATATGGCTCAGTGAGAGAGAAGCCCATGGCACTGATTCAAGGCAGGCAGGATGGCATTGAGGATCTCAGCCTTGGCCTCTAGCAGTGTACTTATTTATACCATCAATTGCTGCCTGTGCTATGCTCATCAGCAGTTGATGCTTCTGTTAAAATAATCAATAGAGAAACAGCTAGCTCTGTTGCTTTTTTACTTGCTGTCAAAGTCTCAGGTGATGTAAACAAGAAGTTGACAGTTTTTTCATAGCAATCTGTATGTTACTGCAGACTTGAGAAAGCTGCATGAAATTGGAGCTGCTATTGTGAGGGTTTTTCTACCATTGTAAATGTATTTTCTCTCTCAAAAATCCCATTACAGACTCCTCATCTGTGTGGATAGGTGGTGATGCATTGTGTGCCAAAGTCTATCCTCTTTTGCTTGTTTGATGTTGTTTTTTAGTTGGTGCTAAGAGTTAGAGGACATTTAAGTGAAGGGAGTGTGTCTGGTAAGGCAATAAACACAATGGAGTCATCAGTCTTTGGAGAATGATTTCATTTTATTATAGCTTCAAGGGTTACTCATAAGTACTACCTATTTATGAGGAGTAACAAAAATAGTTGCACAAAAATACACTTTGCAAAGCCAGAGGGATTTTTGAAGAACGTAATGGGGTTTAGGGGAAGTTAAAACATATGTTTCAATCCTTGATTGTTGCCAAAGGATGTTTTTGAGCCTGTTATCTGATCTTGTCATTTTGCTTTTTTTTTTGCAGGTATGATTTTTAATGAAGAAGATCAAGAAGTGAGAGACTTGGGCTATCAGAAGCATGCTTTCAATATGCTTATCAGTAATCGGCTGGGATACCACAGGGAGGTGCCTGATACAAGAGATACAAAGTATGTACTAACTTATGGAGAGAACATGGTATGATTTTGTGTGCTCACGGACTTGTTACTCACATTATACTTGATGTAATGTTTAATGTTTTTAGTATTACTTTTCTGTTAGATACTCTTTCAGCCTCCTGTGTGGCTGAAAGCAGATTTTCAGCTATTTAAACAGGAGTGCTTGAGGTTCGGATTTTTATTCCTTGGCCTCTTCTTTTTTTGACTGAATATTCTTTCTAGAGATCTAAATTTTTTTCCAGCTGGATAAGGTATGTGATAGATAAAGCCCCACAGAATCCAGGCTCCATGAAAAAAGAAAGACTGCTACTCTCTGAAAGAAATTTTTTTTTCCTGATCCTTAATTCACTTTAAGAATGCTTAATGAAGAGCCAAACTGGATATACAGTTATTCAAACTTTTATCATATTAATTTAATTTTTTGGGGTAGTAGGATTGGTAGACAGCTGTTTTGGTAGAAACAAGATTTTGAAAAGAATACTTTAAATCAAAATCAACGTGGAAAAGAGCTAGGAATCAAACTTTCTTTCCAGCAATATTAAGACACATCCTGTGTCTCTTTCATCTTGCTAGCTGTGTACTCAATTATTAAGGCATGCTACAGTACTTTTTTTTTTTTTGGCAGCTTTATTTTGATATACTCAGTACTGTACCAGAAGAGATGCTGTAATGCTGTTTGGTACCTTTGAAAGATGGACATTGTGTTCCAATGTCCAGGTTGATGAGAGGCTTTCACCTTATGTACTATGTAGCATTTGTTGTAAGCCTGCAGAGGATAAGATACAAAAATGACTGATGGCAAAGGTGCTCTCAGTTAAAATCCTTGCTTGGTCTCTGGGTTGCATTGCTCTGAATACTTTCCATTAAAAAGCAGATATATTTTTTTTTAATAATCTGTCCAGTGTGTATGGGGGGGAGGGGAAACCACCACTGTAACAACAAAAAAAACCCCAGCATTGAACTGAAAAATAAATAAACTTGCATCTGTTTTTCTAGTGGTTTCTTTGGTGTGGGTAAATGTAGTGAATTGTACTTGCTGAAATGTCTCTTCTAAGACCGAAGTTCACTCCAAGTCAATGAAGACTTTTTTTTTTCATTCCAAGTCAATCAAGATTTTTCTTGGGTTTTCATTTATAGCTTCTTATTTTTATTGGATTCCCTCATGCCTGGCATCTTCAAATGGCATTAACCTATGATACTGTGCCCTATTAGAAGTATGGACAACATTTGAAAATAAGGAGAAAGAACGATCTTCTGCTTTGAGTAGAACTCAGCTTGAAGATTAAGATACTTAGGTAGCTGCGTGTTAGTCAGTTGTCTCTGCTTTTATTATAATTAGCAGAGATCCAGTCAATGCAGTTAATGGAGCAATGCAGAGGACTTCAGCTGACAAAAGGCACTTGTCAGCCTTAAGATGGGCTGAACACTATCTAAACTCCACTGACAGCACTGACTAGGCTTAAATGTCTTAATTTGCAGACTGAATCCTAACCTTGACTGGCTAAATTGATATTTAGCACCATTGGGGGTATTCTGGGATGTCCAACCTAGTCTCCAGCAGCTGGCCAGTAATGTTGTGGGTTTTTTCTAGGCCTAATGTCATATTTGCCATTCCTGTACATGTCTGAGCTAACCAGGGGTACTAGACAGTGTTTTGACAGCTGAAACAAGCCCTTGTGTTTTCTCTTGTTTATGTCTTGAGGATCTGTGATTCTCACTGCCACTCCAATCCATCATATTCTGTTTTTTAACAGGTAGCAATGTCAATTATAAGTCAGTATTATGTGGAGAGTAACTTAATATCCTGAGCCCTACTATAGATCTTATACAGCTGAGCTCTTTGTGTTCAAGTTAGGGGTTCTTCCGACATGTTTAATGTTTTCTTGTTATTCATGAAGTTTCACTAATGACCTAGCCCTATAGAAACCCCACTGAAAATGAAGTGATAACTACCGTTTTTCTGCTTGTAGGTGCAGAGAGAAGTCCTACCCTTCTGATCTGCCCTCTGCCAGTGTTGTCATCTGTTTCTACAATGAAGCACTTTCTGCCCTGCTTCGCACCGTACATAGTGTCCTGGATCGCACTCCGGCACACCTTCTTCATGAAATCATTTTGGTGGATGACAACAGTGAATTGGGTGAGAGAACATTTCACTGTATTTTGGTCAGTGACTTCTTGACCTTCCTGTATCTTCCTGTGCTTTATTGACTGGTCAAAATAAAAACGTGGAAGCCATGATGCAAAACCAATTTGTACTGGAGTTCATCTTCAAAAAGTGCCGGCCAGTGCAGATGCATGATGTTCTGAGAAGCCTGAGATTACATCCACTTTGACACCAGTGCCATTTTACTGGTGAGCTTTGTATCACATGGACTTGAACATTCAAAAACAGGTTTTGAAGCTAATAATGAGGAGTGTACGTTTGCGGAGGGGCTGATGAAGCAGTTGTTCATAGTTTAGCTGTTTTTAACAGTACTTTGCTTTGTCTGCTCTGGTACTCAGAGCAGATTACACTGATCTTTCTGTAAACTTTGTGGGCCAATACTGGCTGGGAATGCATCTGAAAGGTCTTGAATGCACATAGCTTCAGCTGCGGTCTTGCAAATAAGTTGATGTGGCACTATGGAAACAGTGCGTCAGTTTGTACTTTCTCAGCATTTCAGACTGGTGGTGTGCTGGGATCGCAGCTCAGCCGTTGTTGGGAGGGCTCTGCGTGGCTCTTGCACAGCCTCTTGTGGCCACCCTGGGAGTAGCTGTCCCAGGCGCTTGGAGCAGCCTCTGCTCCCTCAGTCTGGGAGGGCCCTGGAGGGGTAGGCTTTGCAGAACTGCAGAATTGCTTTACTGTTGTTGAAAGATTGATGCTTCGGCATTTTGCTCTTGAATGATGGACAAGGCAAAGACAGACACACAATTCAAGTGTTTTGGCACTTCAAAAGCAAAATGCCTGTTGAGGAATGTGTTGGTGTAGCAGTACTTACGAGCAGGACTGTGCAAGTTCCCTGCTTGCCTCTGTACGAGTCCACAACTTTTTGCATTTTTGCAATGAGTTTTAGATTATATTTTTTTAGTACATATAATTTGGTCTTGTTGTTTAGTTTCTGGGTTAAGGTCTCCCTTGCTTCAGAAGCCTGATTAGAGATGTGTAATATAGAATGAAGTTCTCTTGTTATACAGCTAGTTTATTTCTTTGAGGTCAGATCAAATGTTAAGATACAGGAGAGAACAAAGCTGACTGTCCCTTGCTGATAAGAATACATAATATCCAAAAGCTTGTTTTGTGTTTTGGAAGCAATACATGTTCTTTGCTACAAAGTCTCTTGTGCAATTTGTTGATGTAAAGTTTTGTAACCTTCATATTCAGAACTAAGCTTACTGCAAAACTCAGCTTTTTGAACACAGTAATGTATTTGGTTGATTAATGCCTGTATTTAGGCAGTAATACAATCACTCTTCTGGTCTGTAGCTAATTTGAAGGCCAAATTAGATTCAAAACATTCAAGTAGCTACTTTTGCCTTTCTGACTTCAAATGAGCTTGTTTTGAAGCCAAAGACGGGAGGAGATATTGTTTATACAGAGAATTACTGCTCCTGATGATGATGATACTACTGATGCTGCTGCTTAATTTTAATGGATGGAATTTTACAGCTGCAGAAAAGCAAAGCTGGTTTAGTGACTGAGGAAATGGACAAAGACGACTTCGGCTGTGACATGGATCTCATATGAGCTTGGGCAAATTGCTTAATCTCTATGCCACTTTGATTTTTATTTCTTTATTTAAAAAAAAAATCATTTTCAACCTACATTACATACTTTCTGAAATGATATCGTAGATGAAATTTTGTATATTTTTTCAGCTTTAAATATAGGAGCTCTGCTGCATGTCAGTGCTGTTGTGCAAAGCTTGGGTCTTTGCATCTAGTTTTGCCTCAAAAAGCTTCCTACACTCAATCATCAACAGACTCACTAGCTAAGCAGGTGTTTCCAAGGCTCAGCTGAGCCCATTGTTTCCCTTTGCTGTAAGGCAGGATTTCCTTATCTAGTAAAACCTCCTTCTCCCTGATTTAGACGTTGCCTATTATGGAAATGCCCACAGGGTATGTTGAATGCTATTATTGGAGGCATTTTTCTACAGAAGAAGAGACTGAAGAACAGAAAGGTGGTATCAGGAGCTTGGCAGAGTGCCTGCAGCTCAGTCGTTCTTGGACATAACACCACCCCGACTCCCATTCTAGATGTCTCTTGTTTGGAGCAGCCTTTGTTCCATACATATGGAGCAAGATAATGGCTAAAGTGACTTTTGGAGACTGTCTACCAGCTAAAAGGGAGCAATTCTCTCCCTGGAGCAAAATTTCTCAGACAGGCTATATTGAAGCAATTTTCTGAGTTCTGTCAGAAGAAATCAGTCTTCCCAGTGTAGATGAAGCTGACACACAAAAAGCCATCAGCAACGAAAAGCTCGAAGATATCTGAGACTAAACTGCGTATTGAGAGTGGTCCATGATATGTTCAGTCCCAAGCAATGCCTGGGCACACTTTCAGGCAGAATGCCAGTTTGTCCATGTTAAAACTGTATTCTGAGAGCATGTTTGCCATTAGATACTACTGGCTCTAACATTCTGCTGTTCAAGGCCATGGTGTGGGCCTAGTTTAGCTACTAGTATGGACTTGACCTCTTTTTTCTTTTTTTTCCTGCTGTTTTCAGAAGTTTTTCACATGCAAAATTATTTCCTCTTGTATTGCATGTTCGTTCGTGCAGCCTTATCTGCCCTAAGTACTGAGTTTGATGTCTGACCTTTTCTGCTTTGTGCTAGCCCTTTGTTGTCCGCAGTTGCACACTGTCGTTCCTTTGCTGTGATACATCAGGTGAAGAATGATTCAAGCCCTAGTTTATTTTAGATTTTCAAATCCTCCTGTCCTGCTTATTTGGATATCTCATTTGGGTTGCATCTTAGAGATGACTTTTCCATCAACTTTCTAGGAGACTTTGTCCAAAAAAGTCTTTCCTATTGTCTCTGGCATATGATGTCACATTGAAGATGAGAGGAGAGCATTCCTGTGACCCAGATGAATCCTGTCTGGATCTCTCCAGAGACTTTTCTTTGTCCTAGAATATTCTCTAGCACCGTATTTGCTGTCTGGTACCTTCTCATTCTTGATCCATGATGCTGCCTTGTAGCTCAAAGGCTGAGACTTTAACATTTGGAGTTGCTTCTGGGACTCTCCTTTTCAGTATTCCTGCTTGAAAGTTCTTGTACTTCCTGAAGGTTACGGCTCTGTGTTCACGTATAGTCCTTTGACATTTCATCTTGTTAACAGAAACTTTAATGTTTGAACTGACATTCATACGCATAATAATATTTATTCCAGTGTATCTTCTGTTGAATGTCTGTCTGCCTCTCTATACCAAGGTTCTCTATGAAGTCTCAGCTGGCTTTTTGTTTTTCTTCTTCATTTTATATTCCTCTTTATTTCTCCATAAGCTTATTAACTTTGTTTTTCCATGACTTCAGTCTTCATGTGTCCATCTTCTCTTCAGTGATCCTGCTTTAATGTTAGAAACCACTGTCCTTGGGTGGAAAAAGTGTTGTTACTCTAAAAATCACCATTGATGTTAGTTAAGGTACAGTAGTGCCTATAGAATTCGGTGAACTTTGCTCTCCTTCAAAAGCTCATGCTTGCCAGCAGTGTCTTTGATCCTTTTGGATTTTAGAAAAGCAACCACCTGAGACCAAGTTGTAATTCTTGTATCTGCTCTTTTACCAGCTAGCAGGTGCAGATAATGAAAGGTGTCTTCATGCTTCTTTTTAAAGGTGTCACTCTCTGTTTTAGCGTATGGAACACAGTGATTTAAGTCACTTGCCTGTGTAAAAGGGCTTTCATTGCTTCTGCTGAAAATGACAGTCACCATGAGGAGAATTTGGAAAGAGAAATGCTATTTCTTTGTACAGTTCCTTTATATTTTGATTATTTTTTTTTTAGCAGCAGTAATTTCTTTTAGGATAGAGTCTAGTAGTTCCAGTTAACTTGAGTCATATTGTACTAAAGGCTTTGCAAACAGAACAAAAAGATAACAATTCAGTCTGTATTTGGGAAACCAAGGCTGAGTATAAAACCTGAGACAATGGCAGCTTGTAAAAAGTTAGTTGGGAAAATATAAGGAAGCATGTATCAACAGGAATGCACCTTGTGAAAGGCCCAGTCGTATGGTCCATCATCCTTTTCAATGCAGGGTATGTAACTGCTTTGTCCGTGTGGGTGTCCACAATGAAGCAGGAAAAAGGGAAGTAGTTAATAGCAAAATATGCAAATAAACAAAAAAAAAAAGGCCACAGGAATTAGAGGGCACGTGTAGGATACGGGGTGACTGACTGTCCTTTTGATTCGCTTGGTTTGAAGCTGTGCTGTGTTGGGGTATCTTTTTGATCAAGTTTTTGGCCCTTGCGTTGAACATCTTGGGACTTCAGACAAAGCTTTCATGGTTTCCATCCTGTTGTTGAACTTGTGGTTTCCTTTTCTCAGCTGACTTGAAGAAAGACTTGGGTGAATATGTTAAAACTCAGCTTCCGAAAACGACAAAACTGGTAAGAAATGAGAAGCGGGAAGGCTTGATTCGAGGAAGGATGATTGGAGCCTCTCATGCCACAGGTATCCTTTCTTGTTGCTCTTTTGCTTGCGTACTTTGACCATGTGTTTATTGGGTGACTTCTCTTTCTGTAGCGCAGCTCTTTGCATCTCCCTTATGAGGAAAGGCTGAGGGATCTGGGTCTCTTTAGCTTGGAGAAGAGGAGACTGAGGGGGGACCTCATTAATGTTTATAAATATGTAAAGGGTGACTGTTGTGAGGATGGAGCCAGGCTCTTCTCACTGGCATCCAATGATAGGACAAGGGGAAATGGATATAAGCTGGAACATAGGAGGTTCTGCTTAAACATGAGGAAGAACTTCTTCCCAGTAAGGGTAACAGAACACTGGAACAGGCTACCCAGAGAGGGTGTGGAGTCTCCTTCTCTGGAGATGTTCAAAACCCGCTTGGACGCGTTCTTGTGTGATCTGATATAGGTGTCCTGCTCCGGCAGGGAGATTGGACTAGAAGATCCTTTGAGGTCCTTTCCAATCCCTGACATTCTGCGATTCTTTCAGCCGTTGAATGTTTGACCTGTGATTGCTGTAGCCCACTGTAGGGGCTCGGCATGTAATGCCACATTCTAAGCTACACAACTTAGCGCAGAGGAAGAAAGATTTGGGATAATGTTATCTTAGGTGAGAGACATTTTAGCAATTGTTTCAGAATATCAGTGACTTTGAGATGAGATAATTGCGTTGATCTTTGGCTGTTACACAAACTGATGTTGCAACAGCTACACAAAGTGTCTTCAGTGATACCTGTATAATGATAGTCGGAGACCTAAACTAACATTACCCGTGTATTTAAATGTTTACATCATGCAGTTGACCATGATTTTTATAAAGCTTTCTCCAGTGTTTCCTCATAGCTTTACTGAATTATTCCTCATCTGATGTTTCTCTTTAACTCACTTAATGAGAAGTAATCAAGGAGGGCTTGGTACTTGCTTATGGGTAAATATAGAGTAGATCTAATAAATTCACTGTTTTTACAATTCGTAATTAACTTTAGAAAATTTTTGCTGTGTAAGAGGGAGGAGATCTTTTTTCAAGTCACCTAAACAGTGGCTTGGAAGTTTAGAGCCCAATTTGAGTTTCTTAAGCATTGTCTGAACCATTGATTTCTGAGGTTTTGTATTTTTGTTTCTTCCTACATAAGTTTGCTTTTGATAACATGAGTTAATTATTTAGATTGGGTCAGTGAAATAGTAAAACAAAATCAGTATTTGCCAAAATTTAGTGAGGCAGTGTAGAATTTTCCCTATTTCTGCCTTGAAAGAATGTTGTGCGAGGACATCTCCCTCTGTACTGGATATTGTGTTCGCAGAATATTTTCTACATGTTTCCTGTGAAAACTATCGCTCTAAATTGGCAATCTACTTCCTTATTAAAGTAAACTCTACTCTAGTTTCTAATTCACTGATCTAATTGTAATGTTTCTCATATAAGCTTTTCTCTTGTTGCAGTGAGTGTTAATTGGGATAAACTATGTTTGGTGCTTTATGTACACTGTGAGCCTTTTACCATAATATGCTTCCCCATTACTTTCTCAGATGCCAAAGAATTTATGTGCTACTTTCTCAAATAATTTTGAGTGGCAGATAAAGTCTGTTAATTGGTGTTTACTCATTAGCATTGTAATGGCATAACCCAGAGAGAAAATTGTGCTTGTACATTCCAAACTGTGCTAGGATTCATTTGAGTTAGTGCAATTTTAAGTCATCTCATTGCTTTTCTGAACTACTGGAGTATGTTGTTGTTTTTTTTTTCTCAGGAGTCAAATGCTGTCTGTTGTTAATGGGTGACTTGTTATATTTGTATGTTGTTTTCTTTAAAGCTCTTTCCCATCTCTTCCATGTTCTTCTAGTGTTAATTTAAATTTTATCTTGTGTCGTAAAAAATTCAGGTGGTCTTTTAGACAAACTGAGCCTGAAAGGCTCTCATGGATCAAAGTGTGCTCTCTGACCATGGCAGATAATCCCCATGTAAACTGATGGGACGGGAAGTGTTGCTTAGTCTGATACTGGAGGGTTTGTTTATGCCCGTTTAGGACATTCACTCCCCTTTTAAACTGGTATGAATCCATGGTCACTGTAGAGCTGATGAAATGGGGAGATGCTCTGTGTTACTGTATAGTCAGGAATGAAAATGCTGTGGCCTGTCATGGCTGAATGCAGATTAATTTATCGGAATGGTTTGGTTTAAAATCCTCAGATCTTAGCTGAAACAGTAACTGGATAGATGCTGAAGTGTAACATGAAGTGAGCCCGAGGTGATTACAGTCAGTGAACAAAACCAGCTTTGTCAGGGGGATAATTCATCCAGCCCAATTCTGCCATCTTTGGCTATCTCTGTAGTCCACCTCAGGCATGGGAGGTGCTCTGCATTAGGATGGGTGACCCTCCTGACTCTTAGGGTGCTGGTCTGGTGATGTTTCATTTGAATCATAGAATGGCATAGGCTGGAAGGGACCTTAGAGATCATCTAATCCAACCTCCCTGTCATGGGCAGGGACACCTCTCAACTAGATCAGGCTACTCAAGGCTCCGTCCAACCTGGCCTTGAACACCTCCAGAGAGTACAGTAGCTCTGCTGACTCTAGGTAGAACATTTGATGACTATAAAACCCTGTCAAAGAAATGCAAATAGTGGCCACCTTGAGCAATTCATAGCTAAATATGAATAGCCAGAATCTACCTTTTGCCTTTGTCACTGAACTAATCCCTGTAGAGTCTCTGGTTTGTCAGCACTTCTGAAGGCAAATGGTGTTTCCCCTCTGTTACAGAGGGTGGTGAAAATATTGCTGATGCTCTGCTGCTGATATAATAGCATTATGTGTTTGTGTGTCATATTACCATGGACCTTTGTGTTTTGTGTGCTTTGGCCTCTGTAGGAAAAGTGCTGGTATTCCTGGACAGTCACTGTGAGGTGAACGAGAAGTGGTTACAACCTCTGCTGACTCCCATCAGAGAAGATCGCAGGACTGTGGTGTGCCCTGTAATTGACATAATCAGTGCTGACACACTTACCTACAGCTCTTCACCAGTTGTGCGCGGAGGGTTTAACTGGGGCCTGCACTTTAAGTGGGATCTTGTTCCTTTGTCAGAACTGGAAGGACCCGAGGGAGCCACTGCTCCAATCAAGTAAGGTTCCTCCTATGTGGTGTGGAGCTCTGTGTAACATATGGACGATCAGAAGCACTTCAAAGTGTTATGGAGTGTATCTGGGTGTGCAGTTTTAAAAGAAGCCTAGCCTGTCAAATATCTGACTTGTTTATTTTACTTAGAAATAGTTTTGGTTACCATTACCTGTTTCACTTTAATTTCTCACATTTAATCATGAATTGGATGTATTGATTTTGACATTTGATTTTGTCTTTTGCTAAAGAAAAAACTCATAAGGAGCTCATTCTATTCTGTATTAGATCTGTCCAATAATTTAACTTTTGAGCTGGGCATTGATATTTCTTTCCAGTCTGGTGATGTTTGGTTTAATGAGGGTTTTGATAACCACCTTTGTGCTAGTAATAGGCTGCATATCCCACTAATATAAGCTCTATAATTTCTGTGACAAAATGCTAAAGAATTGCTAGATTGAAAAATAACTCCTTTGTGGTAATAGGAAGGTGGTTTCTTACCTGATGGGAGAGAACATCAGAGCATGTGGTAGTTTTCAATGTCAATGTGATTCTTTTGCTTTTGATTTCATTTATATTTTTCCTCAAATAAACAATTATTTTGTCATAAAGCTTCCTATATGAGCACACATGGATGTGAAAACCATCTTTAAAATATTATTTGTCTCTTTGCACAATGTGCAAATGCCTGAACCTGTCTGTTGGAAGCCTGTCTGTATTGTTTTTGTGGTCTGAATTGCTTGACAGTTGTTCTTAGTTTTTTAACCATTGATGGCTGTCTCACCTGTACAGAACTGGCAGTATCTGGTTCCTACTGGACACGTAATTGTTATAAAGTCATGTCAGTGGACACTCTTTTTTTAGTAGCAGACAGATATGGTTCAGACATGAGAATAGAAGCTGTCCCAGTGTGAAGCCCCTCATGAGAAGGGCCAGTGCTGGCAGAGCAATCGCAAGAAGCTGATTGTGCTTCTTGTAGTTGCAGGTATCCATCTCAGTACAGAATTCAGGTTTGTGAGGTGGAAGAATTTTTTTTACAAACTGACTCTTTGCGGAATGTATGGTGCTTTTATAAGATTTGCAAAGTGAATCAGAAATTGGGCAGCCTCATCTCTTTCGTTCTCTTTTCTTGGACTGTGAATGAAGAACACTTCAGGCTGACGCAAGCAACTCTAGCACAAGATTCTGTGCTGTGATCCAACAGCTCTGCAGTTGGTCTTTCCACGTCTACCCATCACAACATTTGGCCCAGGAAGCCAGGAAACTTCTTAAGTTACTGAACAGTTTCACTGGCTTGTTTGGAAAGTGTCACTGTGGCAGCTTCCGAAGCTAGAAGGGAGAGGACAGATTGGTAAGATCTGAATGGGGAACCAGCATAGAAAGTCTTAAAATGCTCATTCAGTTAAGAACTGTTCCCACAGTTAATCTGGGCGATGCCTGCAGGTTGGCTCTTGCTGTGTTCATGGCTGTTGTTACATTCCTTTGACTCACTTTCAGGAAAAACTCCCATGGAAAAGGCAGAGAATTTTATAGTTAAAAGTCTAATCATCTGAAAAGATTACATTTTCTGAATATGAAAGTGACTTTTCCTACTTAGAGATCTCTGCCTGCCTTGAAAAAGAAGCTGAGTTGCTATTTAACCTTGGAAAGAGGCTTTCCATCAAATGGAAAGTCTTACATTTTGTGTTTTAGAGACCTTCATAATGAAATAGTTTGGTGTCAAGGATGGAAAAATTGAGAGCAGCCTTTCAACACAGGTTTTAAAGTGACCGAAACTGCAGTAGAAAATTGTGTGAGAGCAAGCAAGGAAATCCAGACTTAGGCTTGGTTTCATCACAGGTTTTTATGAAGAAGGATGAGAAAAAGCCTGTTCTCAGCCCATTGTACGTCCCAACTATCATCATATTTAGGTCTTGTTTTGACTCCTTTATGCTCTTCTTGGGCATCCACCTATTACAGCTTTGTGATACAGTGGCGATTCAGTCTAAAGATGGTACAACGAGGACCATATGCAGATTCTTACAAAACAGAGCACCATTGTAGTAACACACAGGCAAGGTGAAAAACTGGGAAACCTCAAAGGGAACATCTGTGCAAATATAAAAACTGTAAATAACTTAAAAATAAACTGATCGTTGCATCAACGATGAAACAACAGTGCTTCTGGTATTTAAATTCTATCCATGAGATACAGTAGCATTTCTTGTTGCAGCCTCCTGGCTTGTATAATTTAAATTTGAACCTTATTTCCTGTTCTAATTTAATATGAGAAAGAGAAGTATACTCTGGATTCTACTCCTGAAGTTCAGTCAAGCCTGGTCTGTATAATTTGCTCCTGTAAGAGGAGGAGGAACATGTTATTATGTGCCAGTGTACACGTTTGTAACTGCAGGGGAAATAGCTTCTGGTAAAGATAGATCTAATTAAAGGCAACTCCTACATTTCAGTGTAGAAAACTTGATGGACTCTCAACTTGCACAGCTTTTTACTTTTTTTTTTAGTAGACACACAACCACTTTGTTCCCCTTTCCCTATCCTATCCCTTTTCCTCAAGTACAAGGAAATATGGTTTGTATGTATCAGAATAATGAAAGATCACAAACACCACTTACAGAGCTGTTTTTGAAAATGTTCAGAGATGAGAAGTGTGATCTGATGATTCCTAGTGTCTGCAGGATTTAGATTATATTACGTAAGTCTAAATTTAAGCTTTGAGACAAGCTGATTCAGCTAAAATTACTGTTTTTTTTCTCAAAAAGAAAATGAACTTCTTTCAATATTCCTTTTTAGGTCACCTACTATGGCTGGAGGCCTGTTTGCCATGGATCGTGAATACTTTAATGAACTTGGACAATATGATAGTGGCATGGACATCTGGGGAGGAGAAAATCTGGAAATATCTTTTCGGGTAATCTAGCTTTTACGTCTATTGGAGTATGAACCTCAGTGTCTGGCTGCTTGTCTTCCCTACGTACAATTTCTTTAGCACTGGAATAGCTGTTTTCACGCAGAAGTTGGCACTTTTATTCCCATGAATTTAGTGGGAAGATTGAAGAGAATTTTGAGCTCTGTAGTTAATTGTTTGTGGCTTTTTCTTTGTTTGGTGGAGCATTTCATAATACCAATAGAGAAGCATAAGAAAAGAATAATCATGCATATTTCTGAAATGAGTTTATAAGTAATGTCTAATGAATTTCACAAGTTGGTTTAAGAGATGTGTGGCGCTCGGCAACATTGATAATAAGTAAACTTATTATATTTCCTTAGACATATATAGGGATTTTTCAGACTCCTTTTTGAAGGCCTGAAAATGTAAATATTTTATAACTAAATTAAGAGTCGTGTAGTCAGCTTGACTGGGAAATAATAAGAAAGTCGTAATCAGGAGATTCGAAAGTGATACTTCATTGGATTTCCTATATTTTATCTCATCTTCCCTGTCACTCCACTGAACGAAAAGCAACTTTTTGTGCTCGATGTCATGTTCACCTCTTCACTTCTGTAAAGTGGATTCAACAACAGGTTTGACAAAAATCTGCCTGAAAATGAGATGCTATCATGACAAATATGAAAAGGGGATTAAAAAGTGAAGTTAACATAAAAAACCCAAAACACTCCAAGCCAAACACACAGCCCCAAAAACTTTAGGGGGTCAAATGACCCTCAAATTGGGTCATTAGAGAAATCAAGATTAGAGCTCAAAAATAAGAACTGGCATTTCATAAATTTGAATTACTTTAAAGGGGCATGTACTGGATAAATAAAATCTTTCAAGTTTTCAATTCAAAATATAATTATTAGATATCTGAGTAGAAGTGTATGGAGTGTGAGGAAATTATTGTTGTTTCTGTGTAATACACAGTTTCAATAAAAAAGGCTTTGAAAAATTGGAATATATTCAGAGAGCTTTGTACGGTTTGGAAGCACCCTCTCCCTGGAGGAGCACTGTAAAGAGCTTTAGTCTTTATCTTATCCAGGAGTTTTAAGAGTGACTTGATTATAAACTGTTAATGTAGGAAGACTTTTCTGAGACTGGAGAACACATTAGTACAACAAGGGCCAATGACGGAGTTTAAAAAGAAATTTGAAAAAATAAATGGAAGTAGAGTGTAAATGAAATCAAGATCTGGGGTGCAGTGGAGCAGGATTAAGGCACCTAAAGGTAGTATTGAATGTGAACAGTATTTCTGAGTTCCCATATACTTAACAGAATCACACAGCTGTGTAAAAGAGGTGCTTATACTTTGTTGAAAAGCTCTCCAGGCTCTCTTGATGGTATTGACTGATCTTCATCATCTGTCATGGAAGTGTGGACATGTAATTCTCATGTAGGCAAAGAAATTTGGATAACTTAATCTGCAAGTTGAATCCCAGCCCATGTATTTCAGTGTTTTCTATTAGGTCATTACAGCATAAAATTTAGGAAACTTACTATTTGTTTCCTGAAAGCTGTGACATGTTATGTAGAAAGTGTGATAATATGACAAAAATAGTCTTTTCTAACTTTAAGATTTATTAGTTTAACTTGGACTTAATGTCCTTAGTGTAAGACAACGTTGCTGACACCTAATGGCGTCATCATGTATAAACCTACCTAAGTATCCCTTGAAGAAGGGGAGGAGGTAGTGAGCCTTGTCACTGTACGTACAATGAGGTGTGTTCTGGTTTTGTGTGGACAGATCTGGATGTGTGGTGGTAGACTTCTGATCATCCCCTGCTCCAGGGTAGGACACATTTTCCGTAAAAGGCGTCCCTATGGCTCACCAGGGGGACAGGACACTATGGCTCATAACTCCCTGAGGCTGGCACATGTGTGGATGGATGAATATAAGGTAAGAGATGATTCTAGGTCATGAAATAATGTTGTTAACTGGCTTGTTTGTCAAAGGACTATATCGCAGTGGGGTCTGTTAGCATCTCTAATGGGATCTTCCTCCTGTAGTCTGATTTCCTAATGTTAATTTTGATGTGAATTGTTAGGATTGTTGTTTAGCTTTTAAGTGCTCAAGCCTACTCCCTGTTATTTCTGCTGCCTGCAGGAGATTCAGTTTTATGCCTTTTTAATGAGATAAAAGATGACAAATGGGTTCTCATAAGCTCTGCCTGACTTTGTGTCCAAATCAGAGTTATGTGGCAACCATATACTACTGCTATATGCTTTCAGGTAGTTTCCATGTTGATGAGACAAGGATTTTCATGGTTGATTGTTTGCTTTCTGTTTTAATTAGCAGTCTGATTCTTAGTCTGCCTTGCTCTGGAAGATCAGTCAGGATTGACTTCTGGATTCAAGGACAAGTGTGTTCCTTCCTTGTCTTCAGATCTTGGTACTGATGGTTTTAAAAGTAGATCAGTTTTTTTGTGAAACCCTGATCTCTGTGATAGTTGAGGACGCTTTGCCTTGTGAGACCATGGGATTTTCTGTGTGGCCAGCTCCTCTGGTCCCTACAATTTCTATACGAGACATGTTTTATTAACTTTATATTCTTTATATGTTTATGTTTCAAACCCCATCCTTTATCTTGACATTCGGTCTCTTTGAAGAACCTATTAGAGGACATTAATTTTTATCTCCATTTCCATAATGGACTGGAAGATTCGATCTATTACTGTCCCTTTTATTGATGTCTGGGCACAGTTGCTTTGTGATTAATGATGGCTTTCTCTGAAGCTTGGAATTGATTCTTTGTTATAATTTCCAGCTAATACTGCTTTGTTCAACAAGGATTTAAACTGCTGATTCTAGCAGTCTTTTATCAGACTTGTGTTCTAAACTTTTCCTGCTGTTTCTGATCTGATTCTCTGATAGTTGCCAGAGACTGCCATTATGATGGTTGTATGTATGGAGGGCAAGCCTGGAAATATTTTTGTTCTTATAAGTGTAATGCAAATATTTAGGGCCAGTATCATTTACTGGGGTGATTGTGTGATGAATAGTACAAAAATAAGACTTAAAAGGCCAGTTTTGTAGCAAAGGGCAAATATTAATATTTAATAAATAAAATTGCGTAATGGAAAGAAACATCAAAATTTTTTTAACTGTGAAAAGCAAAATGTAAAAGTAGTAAATTCATGTAGACGATGGAAATAAATAATGCAGAAAAGGTGTGGATACTAAAATTTGAACTTTAACCAGGAAATAGACAATGAGAAGAGCAGAGCCACCTTTTTTTAAGCAGTCCAATTTCTGATAGTAAAGTCCAGTCTGTCTCCAAACTTCCTCAGAGTTGTGTAACAGTCCAGTGTACTTAATGCTTTCCCTTCCTCTGCTATTAAAATAGCAATGATACAGCAAGTGCATCCAAATGCTCAAAGATCTTGATAAGGACAGATGTGTAGTTTGTCTTGAGATGATGCTGTCCATCATCTGACTATCAGAGACAGCAGTAGGTAATGGATAACTGTCAGAACTACATTATAGTAAGTAAATTCCAGATGTCTACTAGAGAGTAATCCAACAAAATACCATAGCTCAGTGCCCTGAAAACTGATTTCTAAATAATATCTAGTAAGCTAGTCACTGTGCAAATACAATGCCTTTTCTATGAGCTCTGTAAATCTAACTGGAATTAAAGACTCTACAAGGGGATTTTCCTTCTAGTCTTGGTAATAGCATTCATGCCACGTTCTACATTCATGAATTCCTGTTTGTCCCCATTGTCTCTGCATTAGAATTGAACAGCACATAAGATTGAGCTGGAATCTTAATCCGTCCTTGCCTAACCAGGCACAATTCCAAGTGCAATCATAAATTAGAACATGAAAAAAGTAACATTGTGGGACCCTTTCTGGAGATGCTGCAGGTGAACTACAAAAACTGGACTTCACAGAAAGCCCAGGTGACAGTTTGCATTCTTCATGCGAATAAATGCATGGTCCCACTGAACTTCACCAGATAGTCCCTTTTATAGGTCCATTCTGGTATGGAATTTTTTTGTCCTAGCAATTGTAAAGTCAGAAGGCTGGGAATTGTGGAAGACAAAATACACTTGAACCTCACAACAAAAGCAATCTATTGAACTGTCAAATTAATTTAAAGAAACCTTGGCCAGGTGAGGATGGGGACGATACACATGTTATTTCTGACCTAATGACTCTAGGTTGCATTTATTGCCAATGGAGTGTTTGAATTCCTTGGCAAGGTGACATCTAAAGGTCAGCAGATTTGTGCCTGAGAAGTGTCTTCATCAGAAAAAACTGTCTAGAAACATTAGCTCAGAGGTAGGCAAGATAAATCTCACCTCCTGTGACAATCTAAACGCTGGAATTTCCTAATGCCAGTTTCTGACTTAACGGTTGAAAGCACTGACAAAATGAAATGAAACTTTGGAAGTTCTGCGAACAAGAAAAAATTGAAAATCGATAATCTGAACTTTTTCTCCTTCTCTTGCCCCAACCTGTTTCTCTTAAATACAGGAGCAGTATTTTGCTTTGAGACCTGAGCTAAGGACAAGGAACTATGGAAATATTACTGACCGTGTAGAATTGAGAAAAAGGTTGAACTGCAGGTCGTTTAAGTGGTATTTAGATAATATCTATCCTGAGATGCAAATATCTGGACCCAATGCCAAAGCTCCACAGCCAGTTTTTATTAATAGAGCACAGAAACGACCGAAAATAATCCAGCGTGGAAGGGTAAGATAAACTTTCTTAAAAATACAGAATTCTGCAGTTTTTAAATTATTTCAAGATTCTTTCTGAAAGATTTGTTCAAATACAAGAACAATAGTCTATTTCCATAAAACATGGAGTTTTAGTTTTGCAACAAGCTGTCTTGAAAATAACAGAATTTGTTTCTTTAGACAAAAGCAAATCAGTTTCATTCTGATGTGTACTTCAGGTCATCTTCAGACTGGATACTATTCAGTGAGGTTTCTTACCTCAAAGCTCTGAGTTATGAAGTTTTGATGTCTTTATAATGTGCTTTTGTGGCTCTTGGTTCTGATGATTGATACGGATAGAGAGAAACTTGGCCTCAAATATTCATGCTCTGTTGGTTTATGATAAGAGTACAATGTAATTAGTTTCCAAACTCATTGCTTTTACTGGATAATTTTCTGCAAAGATGAACATTTGCATCTGAGATTGATGATGGCTTTTCTAGCCTTGACTGTTAGATAATGAACAAAAAAGGAGTTTTACTCCTTTTTTGTTCAAATGAAGTGAAGAGATACATTTTTACATGTATTCATGAAGGAAATAATGATTAAATGCATGCCCTAGCTCTGGCACGTACGTTTATGAGTTTGTATGCAAGCAAAGCCAGCCAGTTCTCTCCAGTGCCAAATTTGTCTGTACTTTTTAAGCTTCCCAAAAATAAAGGGTAACTTCAAACCCGAGACATCTTTCTCAGTCTTCTCTGTGAAAGAGAAGACCTTTGAATAAACTATTTCATGTGCATATAGACTATTGTTGGCGGATATTTCATGTGCACATAGATTATCATTGGCGGATTCCCTTCTAGCTCAATAATCGAAAGTATTAAGTAGTGATGTAGCCCCCTCCACAAGGTAGCAGAGTCTGCAGGAGCTGTTGAGAGTTACTGGTCCTGCAAGTAGATTCAGGCTGGAGTTCGTGCAGAATCTATTGACATTGTTAGATTTTAAAAATTTTTTTGTTTTTGCTTGGAAGCAGCGATCTGGAAATCCACAATTCGTGCAGTATTTCTAGAGTTGTATCCCAGCCAAGCTGTAAAGTTATTTGTTAGGGCAAGCGTGTAGTTTCACTGAATAAAACTGATTCAATGGGCTCATGTCAGACCTTTTGTTACTCCTCATGTCAGACCTTTTGGTTTCTTGTGTGTTTTTTTTTTTTTTTTATTTTTTAATTAAATGTAATAGTTTTCTGCTTTCATTCAGACAGAAGTTTAACTAAGGAATTGCTGATGGGGGAGGCTACTGAGGGATCTGAATCCCTCAACAACACTGAAGGGGAAATCTTCCTAGCAATAATTTCCCATGGTTTAATTTGGAGAAAAACTTTGTGCACCCTTTAAGAAGGGGGAGATGACACAGAAAAATGCAGTTCCTTGGCTTAGTTCTCTAGGGTTCGAGAATTATACCCAGCATTGTGTGAAAGTCAGCTTTGGCTCTGATGATTGTATAAACCATTTCCAGATGCCTACAAGGAACAGAATGATCAGCCAATGTCACCACTGCTTGCCAGACTCTTTAGGATTCGGAATGAATCACTCCAAATCCCAGCTTATTCTCAAAAACTAATTGGACCAGAGATAAGTACTGGTTTGACAGCTGGGAAGAACTGTAATGGTCACAAATTGTGTCAGTTCTTAACAGTGTTATCAAATGCTGATTATCACGGCCAATAAAAATGAGGACAAAAATCACATAAAACTCATGTAGCTGTATGGTTTGAAAGCCTTCTGTTGAGTGAGGAATGATGAAAATGAGATCTCTTCTAGAAGTCTCTGGGGGGTGAGGAAATATTGCTTAGAAGGTCGTCTGTAATTTATTTCAGATGTGTGTAGGGAAACATGGTGCAGTTGAGGAGGCTGTTGATGCCTTGGGACAGCTATTTCCAGAAATGGTGTTTAGTGAAGAATATTATTTGGTATTCACGCTCTCTAATTTTTGTTATCATGTGATGGAGCAGTTCTTTATTACTGGAAGTGTCTTTTAGTTTCTAAAAATCTGTAGAATTAATGCAAACGCAGACACAGCTATGTGTGTCCTCATATTAAAATGCAGCTAGCTAATTAATCAGCCTGGCCTTGAGTTCAGGACAGCAAATTCTTTTTTTCTTCTACATTCAGCTCCAGATTGGAAATAATTTTTAATGTGGATGCCAGATCTGGGCTCTGCCATCTCCCACACATGCCCACACTCAGTGACTGTGAAATGTGCTTCTGTGCACTTGGTAGAGAGTGGGGCTTTTTGCCATGGGAAAGGAAATGGCAGAGTTGTGGCCATTGCTGGAGTAATTGCCTTTCTCCGTTGTACCCTTGGCTGCATGCAGTGCAGTTCTTGGTGTGCAGGCAGGATTGCTGCCTGAATAATCTGATCCTCACCACATCAGGGGAAGGAAAACAATCAGACTGAAAAGAAGTCTTCTACTGGCCACCAGTTAGTTCAGGGCATGTGTACAATTTAAAGCCAGAATAGAGGTGTTTTGTCTTGCTGAGTAACTCTGGGGGGATATATCAAGATCTTAGTGTTTCAACTTTTGGAATAGAACAATCTTATCTTCAGACTCTGCAGAAAATCATTTGGGTAACTTTTAGCGTGGGCATCACTACTCATACCAGGAGAGAGGTTGCTAACTTGCTGAGAGCCTCGTTTGCTTTGATGGTGGATGCTTCCAGTTTTGCATCCCAGGACAGGCTGCTGACCTGAATGTCCTCTCATTCAACATTTCTCCAAATCAGCCTAGGTAGTGCATTTGGACTGGAATGAGCATTTGGGTGTTTGTAAAATTTCCCCTTCTTCCATGATCTGTCATTAAAATAACATAACTGTTAATTATGGCCTTTCAGTTACCTAAATGCTCCTGAAAATCAATGTGCAAACAACATAAGCCTCTGAAGTTGTTTGTATGTAATTCCCTCTCCGTTCTCAGAGACAAGCCTGCTTCATGAAGAGAGGCTTTAGGAGGAGACTTGTTTAAGCTAAACTATATTAAAATGTAGTTTATACAGTACAGTTGATATTCCTGAGCTAGTGTGGATCTGAGACCTGAGACTGTCATGGACAGTGAGGAGGGGAAAGTTGACAGAGTACGGGCAGCATGTGCTGCACCAGCATGTGTGTACTGCACTTATAAAGAGGGAAATCTTGATGTAATTAGAAAGTAAAATGGAACTATTTACTGCTGTTTTTTCTCCAAGTTATCTGAAAAACAAAATGGTATTTTAAAATGTAAGAAGCTTTTATTTTTTATTGTGAGGGTGTAGTGTTGTTTTTTGTAGTTTGGGTTTTTTTTGTGAGCACACTGAGTTCTAGGGCTGCTAAATCATTACTGTATATTACAAATACCTTTGGTATGCGGTGGTTGTTGTTTACTCTGTTCATCAAACTGTTTTCCTTTCATAGTTGTATCACCTTCAAACCAACAAATGCCTGGTTGCCCAGGGCCACCCAAGTCAGAAAGGAGGCCTGGTAGTGGTTCGGGAATGCGACTACAATGATCAAAACCAGGTATGATGCTCCTAATTATAATGAATAGTGATTCATGTCTTACAAACTGCTAATATTTCTTTTCCTGCTGGCAAAGTACCCTGGTACAACATCCCATCAGCAAGCAGGCCGATTTCAGAGTATCGTTCAAACCCCAAGGGTGGCCGAGGAAACTGTGGAGCTTACTGCTCTGTGCCTACTAATGCTCAGTGTTGGATACTGTAATTTCCTATCTTTATGACTTGAATCTCGGTATGTGGCTGAAGACTATCCTGAAGTTGCTCCTGACAGGTTCATAATCCACTGATTGACATTTTAGAATTCGTAGAAGCTCTTTCAGTCAGTTCCTCATACCAGGATTTAAGGCAGCCTTTTCCTGGCCTCCTGTTTTTTGTCTCCAGTACAACTAGTCCTCTGCTGCTGGAGTGGCTGTCGTTTGGGGTGAATTAATGATTTGTTGCTGTGTTTAAATAGAAGGAATTATAAGGAATTTGGAAAATTCTTTGTCTACAGGTGAGGATTAATTGGGGATGGATGTGAAAATCTAGTGAGAGGTTTTTATATTACTACATGAAGCCTTTGCTATTCCACTTCTGTTCTTTCAGACAACAGAAATTCAGGACTTGGAGAAACAGTCTCCAGGGTAGAGGGATCTTCACCTAATGCCATAAAGCTGAGAACTACATTGAGAACATTATGATTTAGGAGCCCATGGGACTCAAGTCCAAAAACTAGATTGCATCTAAAGAGAACAGTGATCAAAGACACAAAATAAATGGAGCATAGGATGTGATGCAGTGTAACTTTACCCGAGGTGGGTTGTGCTAGACCAACTTCGTACTTTATGAAATGGACAGTAGTTTTCAGGATATGGAAACTGCAGCAGTAGAAGCAGGATGACTTGTAATAGTCCCAAACAAAAAGTTGTAAGCTTTGTTCAGCTAGTGGGACTTTCAGCCTCATCTCTGTGGTCTCACCAGTTGAATGTGACAGGGGGAGACAGTGTGACAGGTGTTAGCCACTGTCTGAATGTGTGTGGCTGGCTGTAGAATCGTGGTCTCCAGTTGCCACTTGGGACCAAACAGTGCATCCCTGTACTTAGCTGGTGGAGTACTGAGTAGTCATCTCTTACCGAATCGTAAGTCCCTGTATAAAAGTGGATGAATTTAAGCTGGAATGAGATTTGAGGTTTTCCTGTGTGATCTCTTCCATTAGCTGCAAACAAGTCAGCAAGTCTTACTGCCTGTGTAAACGAAAGAGTAGCTGATTGTCACGCGTGACTGTAGGTTTGCGGTGCCAGAGGTATTACGCCATGTTCTGAGCCATTCAGTCTGAGAGTAAGAAAGCAGCAATGACTTCCAGTGGATGATGTCCACAGTAGGAACACATGGGTCCTCACAGTTACTGTTTTTTTTTCTCCTTCCTGCAATATTTCTAATAGTGAACTGCCACATGGCTGGAGGAGGAATTCTGTTGGTTTTCCTTACCAAAACCTTTTTCTGATTCCCCACCCCCTCGGAGACAGAAACTTCAGTTAGCCTTTGGATGTTGAGAAAGACAAATTAATGCTCAAATTGTTGATCTTTGGTTTCTTTTCTCACGCATCTGGTTTACTAGTGGTAAATGAAGCAATTAGTTTGCATAAAAAACTGGTTGTGCTATCTTCTTTCTCAGTGATTTTGTTCTCTAACGAAGTGCGTTAACCAACACTGTGGTTTTCTGCCATTAGACTTATTTTGTTCTCCTAATAAATCCCAAGAGTGCATTCAGCCAGCTTGCTTTTGTATCCTCTTGATCAATCTTGCTATAGATATGTGAGAACAACATGGAGAAAGATGACAATTATCAGCTTCTGCTTATAAAAATAGCAATAAATTTCATGAGTATTGGAAACTTTTAACGTTGTTTCTGGTAGCACTCAACCTATTGATGTTTTCAGCTGATTTTTGCTCTAGAGCCATGTGTTTTATGCCTTTGGCCCAATAAGAAAGCCTGTGTTGGGTCTGGTGAAAGGCAGGTGCCCAGCTGTTCTGCCCCCTGGATGCCCACTGATAGCGAGTTAAGTGTCTGTTGCGTAATACGCACAGTGCAGACAGTTTTGTTGGAAGATATAAATCTACACTTTGTGAGGAGTATTTTAATAATGTCTTTGTTTAGTGGTTTTTTTGAGCCAATGATGTTATTTTTATAGAATTTTTTGCTTTTTCTGGGTGTCTAATTGTATTTTGACCTCATGTAAGCTTTCAGCATCCTGTGGTACCGCAGCGTAGCTGTGCTTTTTGTGGAAATAATTTGTTGGTGCTGATTTCATTCGGCGCCAGCTAATTTTTCCCTGAGGAACAGGAATAAGTTGTCACTGTTTATCTCTTTCCAGGCTGCTTTTGTTCTGTGAATAGATAACGCCCTCCCTTGAAAAATAGATGCTACCACTCAGTAAGTTGAAGGAGCACGGCCCAGTCTACCTGGGAAAACATGGAGAGGGCTGGGGAAACAAAACTGAGCTGTCTTAAGACTCGTTGATTGCAGTTCTTTTGGTTGGAAAATGATCTTCTGTGTAACCTTTTGACTGGAAAATGGTCTCCTGTGTAATGTAGACAATTTACGCATGTGAAAGCTGACCTTGAAAAGTGGGTGTGTGGGGAAACCAGACTCACTGAACTCCTGAGACTGGCCTTGCAAGCAAATCTGTTTTGCCTTTAGTTTATGCTTACTTCATTTTCTCTAGCCTTCATGGCTACTAAGAAAATTCAAATTCTCACTTAACTCCTTGATTTAGAAAAAATAACAGATGTTGTGTAACTTGCAGTTGTCTCACCATTATGAGTAATACCTTTAATTGAAGTTGACTTAGACTATCAACATCAAGTAAAGTTAAAAATTACTCAAGCACATCAAACTATCCTGTTTTCTAGGACGTGACATGACAGTGACATTCAGTTTATCTTTTTGCTATAGAAAGAAAAAACAATAAGGGAGGAGGTTCTCACAAAGGTGATGCATCTAGAAAACATTTTAAAAAACTATCTTTCTCCAAGTTATAATGAAAACTAGGGCTTTTCATTAACCGTAACAGAAATACTTTGTCTGGGATAATACTGTGGATTGAACACAAATTTTGGAATACGTGATGAAAATTTTATACCTAAAAATGGCAAAAGTAGAAGAGATAAGATAAATAAGAAGAGATCTTATAGAATGAAGGTCAGTGTAGAGAGGCGTGAAGTAACAGAAGCAGCAGAAAAGTTGTGAAATTTGCAAACTAACTGGACTAACATGGAATGAGAAATTTTGTGGTTGAAGAGTGGTCATGTGAAGGAACCGCCAAGATTGCCAGATTACACGCTCTCTTGAAATTCAGTAGTTTCTGACCTCTTTCTGGAAAGACAACTGAGAATGCCCAGGATAGTGCATGCCACAAAAACTTGGGTGTTGAAGGAGGATAGAAGATACTTGGACACCTTGAAAGATCATCATTAAAGACTTGGAGAAACTGTGGTGTAGATTCTACCCAAAGCCATCATGCGAAGGTTAATGAAGTGGTGATGAGGAAACAAGGATACTGAAGCAGACTTTGGGCTAGATACTGCCCTGAACGAAGAGGAGTAGAAGTAGTCACTGACAAACTTGGAAGAAAAGCATCAAAGAACAGTAAAAAGAAAGGTTTTGGAGTGAAGCACAGTGGCCAACAGAGCCCTGACTAGTGGAAGTGTTTGTGATCTAACAGCTAAAAGAAGATTGGATTTGTCATGTAGCTAATGTCTGCTTGCCTTCTTCCTGACCGAAACGCTTAAAGCCAAGTTCTTTCTCCAAAAAATCTCTTCCACTGAATTATGTGGATTTTTTTTTCCACTGTTTGTCTTCTAATATGCGAGGTTGGCTCTTAATTTACTTCCTCTGTTGTTATAACCTCTCCTCTTTGTATTTACTTCATTTCAATAATTTAACCTTTCTCTTACGTAACAATACATTAAGCTTTAAAAGTGTGACTTGCCATTCCAACTGGGGATGGTGCTGAGGTGTCTAAGCATGTGCATCTGTGCTCTGGGCCTTGAAAAAATAACTGATTTGAACAGGGAATTTCAGAAAAGCTCTGTTGACACTCTTGTAGCACTTTCCAAATACAAGAATACATACAACAACAAACAGTTCAAGAGTCAGAGTCTAGAAGGATGTGCTCACATGTGCAGTTCTTCTGTAAGATCTTTCTCCCTAAACCTCTAAATCATGGCTGTGAGTTTGCTTTTCTGATACAACACATGTCTAGAGCGAGCGTGAAGACGTGCAAGTTCAGTCAGCTTGCAGCTTTTTCATAAACTGTTGAAGGAACACAGTTCAATTCTTTGGTCCCTCTAACAATTGTCATGTAACATCAGCAACACACTGAACTGCAAAACAGAAAGCATGTGCCTGCGTTGGAACAACTTTTAGGAGGATGTTGGGTTTTCAGAGTAGCAGTATAAAATAATTGTTATAGACCACCAAGCTTGGCTGTTTCTGACTTTCACAAGTCATTTGGTGCTGTGATATCATTGTTATCTGTAATAACAGGAGATGAAGTATATGCAAATAGCTGTGATGATGGAAATTTCTAGGCACATCTCTTCCTCGGTGCTGAGGCAGCTTTTTTAAGCTGAATTTTTATCTTTTAAAAACTGTCTGACAGATTAATACAATAGTGCCAATCTAAGCAACAGATTGTAACTGATGAAAATACTGGAATGCTTCTCCTGTCGGAATGGTTCACAGCAGGGATATTCTTCCACACAAAGGGCTGTTTCTGTAGTAGTTACTGCCTTGTATTTACTGAGGTTTTCCAGTGCATTCCTCCAGTGCTAATGCGATTTGCAGACCAAATAAGAATGTATATCCACCAAGCTTTGCCACTTGGCCAGCCGTGCCTTTTGCTGCACTCCACTGCACTCTGAAAGCCAAAGGGTAGGCTGATGCTTCCTGGTTTATTTCCAATCATTTTGAAACGTTTATTCCCTAGACACAGTGAGCTTCCCTTCTTTTTTCTGCCTACTACATTTTCTTGATTTATTGTTTTTTGCTAGATAAGGTGATTAAGATTTTTAACAACAATAAAAATTTAAGACAACAATACAGTTGCCTGCATTGACAGTGGACTCAATCTTCTATAGGTAACTCCATTTTTTGAAAGGAAATGATAGTATGGGCTGTCCTTCTAGATAATGAGGCACCCTTTGAGCCCTTTCCTCACTTGAATTTTCTCTGAAGTATTTCAGCTAACTGTTATCTATTCGCATTAATCTCACTGTAGGAATAATTTCATTTTTCACAAAAAAAAAAGTTCAATAACGCAGCCCTGTGTCAGCAAGTTTGCTGACGACACCAAACTGTGTGGTGTGGTCAACACGCTGGAGGGAAGGGATGCCATTCAGGGGGACCTTGATGCACTTGAGAGGTGGGCTTGTGTGAACTTCCGTGGATGCCCCATCCCTGGAAGTGTTCAAGGCCAGGTTAGATGAGGCTTTGGGCAACCTGGTGTAGTGGAGGATTTCTCTGCCCATGGCAGGAGGGTTGGAACTAGATGATCTTTAAGTTCCCTTCCAACCCTAACCATTCTATGATTCTAACTTCATGAAGTTCAACAAGGCCAAGTGCAATCCCAAGCACAAACACAGGCTGGTGGGGAATGGGTTGAGAGCAGCCCTGAGGAGAAGGACTTGGACGTGTTGGTTGATGAGAAGCTCAACATGAGCCAGCAATGTGCAATTGCAGCCCAGAGAGCCAACTGTATCCTGGGCTGCATCCAAAGAAGCGTGGCCAGCAGGGAGGTGATTCTCCTCCTCTACTCTGCTCTTGAGACCCCATCTGCAGTATTGCGTTCAGTTCTGGGGTCCCCAAAATAAGAAGGACATGGAGCTATTGGAACAAGTCCAGAGGAGAGCCATGACGATGATCCGAGGGCTGGAGCACCTCTCCTATGAACCTGAAGAAGAGAAGGCTCCGGGGAGATCTTAAAGTAGCCTTCCAGTACTTGAAGGGGGCCTACAAGAAAGCTGGAGAGGGACTTTTTACAAGGGTGTGTAGTGATAGGACAAGGGGCAATGGATTTAAACTGAAAGAGGGCAGATTTCGATTAGATCTAAGGAAGAAATTCTTCCCTCTGAGGATGGTGAGGCACTGGAACAGGTTGCCCAGAGAAGTTGCAGATGCCCCATCCCTGGAAGTGTTCAATGCCAGGTTGGATGAGGCTTTGAGCAACCTGGTGCAGTGGAAGGTGTCGCTGCCCATGGCAGGGGGGTTGGAACTAGATGATCTTTAAGGTCTCTTCCAGCCCAAACCATTCTATGACTCTATGAGAAGAACAAAATCATCCCAGATGGGAATCACTGGGATACAGGGGTTTATGGAGGGAGCAAAGAGCATGCCTCCTTTATGAACAGTGGCAACCTGAAACCAGTTATGGTATCTAAATATTGGTAAAATGAGAGTAAAAAAGCTTCATTATCCCATCTTAAACAATGCCATACTGCTGTCCTTGTAAGGAGTTAAGCTGTGGTCATCACTGTAACTTTTCTTAAACTGTGTACGAGGAGAAGCTCTGTTTCTACCCACCTGTCTCTATGTAAATGAGATCAATGAAGTAATTTTAGCAATCAATCCAGGAGAAGGCTGGGTGACTTATTTTTGTTATATAGGGGTGAAGTAAAATCCTGAAGGTACTAGAATCCCTAGGAAACCTCAGTTTTAAATCTGTAAATAGTCTGAACTACCTTTTGAGGAGACTAAATTCAAAATCCAGTTCTTCCGAAGCTGCACCTGTGTAAAAAAGGTTTTATACTTATGGAGTTGGTACTTTGGACCTCCTCCCATTTATATGGTCCAACTTTTTTTTTTTTTTTGTAAAATACATTCTTAAAATGTCTCTTTTTTTGTAGAAAATTTGTAGGACGATAAACCAAGACATCACTCAGAAATTGATTGTAGACTTTTGATATCGTGCTTGAGCCTGAACCCAGGGAAGTCATGGACAAAAAGAAAATGAAGGTGGTTTCTTCTCCATATAGATCAGATACTGGTGGTGCTGGCTGCCAGTAGATGTTTCTTTCCTATACTGGGCTGTTGCTGCAGACAGCCTGTAGTAACAAGAGCTGAACTTTGTCCTTCCAGTCTTCAGCAGCAAAGTAGTTAATAAATTTTGGAACATGCAAAGGCTTGTGGTTATATAACAAAAAAAACCCAAAAAAACCCAGGGGGTGGCTTTGCTTTCCTCGTGCTTCAATCTGTTAATAATCTGCAAGTTCATACTGATATTCTAATCTGAATTTGGAACCATACTGTGTCCCAAATCTGGGGCTTTTTTCCCCCCTTTCCTTTGTTTGCTACACCAAATGCATAATTATTTTGAAATTAATTTTGGCCGTCTTGTATAAGCCTTTCTGGAGCAGTATCACACTGGATTTAACTGCTGTTGTGCGTTCTTCCCCATGACTCAGCTTTTGATTAGAGGTCTGCTCCCTGTGTCACTGCAGTCTTCTCTCTCAATTCTTACTGGTTTCATCTATTGTTCAGGTTTGGTTCCATCATTATTCTTTCAATAATAATACTCTTCTGGCAAGTCCTGCTATTTCTTCGTTCCTCCCCTTTAGTCTTGCTTTCTTTCTCATGACGAGGTTTAAAGAGAAAAAGTATCTTAAAGGCACAGAACGCCTGAGGTTAGGGCAAATTCAGGTAATACCTGAACTTCCTCAAAGGAGGCCATTGCTGTATTGTGATAGTCATTATGATAATGAGTTAGCTGTACACTTTTCAATCGTGCTGTCCAACTGAGGCAGTGTCCTGAATCACAGCTCCCTCCAGAAGGCTTTTTTTAGTTTCATCAGACAAGAAAAAAAAAAAAAAAATCAGAATTTGTTTTATTTGCTTGACTTTTTTGTCTGGAATTTGGTATTCTGTACTCTGAGTGTGAAACTCATGCAGAGTTAATGGGGGGGCGGTGGGGGGTGGGATATAACACACAGCAGCACAGTTACTGCAGCACTGAGCTGTGTGAAATCAAAACAGGGCTGGAAGAAGAGAGCCCTGGAGGTGCAGGTACTTCTGGTACAGTTAGGAGGGGCTCAAATCTCTTTCGTTCACAGGGGCAGAGGTCAGGGGGAAGGGAGTTTGTGGTGGGAAGTGAGGTAAAAAAAAAGGGTTGGGTCTGGGAATGGCAGGAGAGCACGAAACCTGGTCAGCTATGCTGTTACCTGCCCGGCATCCAGAGAGGCTGGGAGATGCTGTCCAGGTGCATTGTGAATGCAGGGGCCCTGCTGTGCATTCAGAATAGTGATTGTTTGGTGTTTAGCTGAATGATCCCACTGTCTTCCTGGCACTGCAGTTACAGTTTTCATATGCTTTCTTCTCCTTTTCCCTACCCCTGTGTAACGCAGGATATTTTGAGGTGCACACACCAAAGTTCCTTCATTTTTTTTCTCTCTGACATAGGGATCAGAGTCTCCTGTTGGTTATGAGAGCTTCACTTCCTCCACCTAACTGATACTGGCCCAGGTCTTTGCAGGCCTGAAGGAACTGAAGGAGGGAGAGGGGGCCAGCAGCTCCTGCAGTTAGACCAGACTGATGGTCCAGCTTCCTTGAACCTTCAGCTGTGCTAGACATGCCTTACTCCAAACCAAAGTTTCAACAGCCCAATGAGAGCTTACAGAGTATGGTCATGAACTGCAGCAATGGAGGGTGCCTGGCAGTTTTTTATGCCAATAATAAGAACACCTACTTCTGCTACAGTGGCATGTGAGAGAGGACAAACTGACAGCTTGAGTGTGTCCTTCTTGTTCGATGTAACAATGGTTTTCAGTGTTATAACAGAGAAACTCCTGTAGTGACACATAAATTCAAGAACCTAAATGCGATTGAAGCTGCAAAAGTGAACCACTACATGCTTGCTTTGTACAAGTGGGCCTCAGAGAGGAGCTGAATTAGTTCCCACCTAATGTGAGCTGCTATGATATTGTGTGGATTCCTGAGGTTCAGATCAACACGTTTTCATGTTGGTTCAGCCAAAACAAAGTGGGCGTGATATGGGAGGGCTGGCCTCCCTCTAGCAAAAGCAGTTTGGCTGAGGAGCAGAGAAACCTGTCAGTTATGGAACATATAGTTTCAGAATGGGAATGATGAAGCAGTGATTTCTCTCGCTCCCCGGAGAGCAGTATGAAAAGCTTTGATAGCAGCTGGATGTTAGTGATCATCTTTTAATTGAGTGAAGACCTCTGAGCATTAGGCCACCAGCTGCAAGGAGTAGGACCCTGGGACCATTGTGAGGACTAATGCAGGCTACCTGGCACCAGAATTTGCACAGAAATTTGGTTTCTCATCATTCAGCATCTACAAGCTGATCTCAGAGCACAGTGTTAAATAAATTCCTATGCATTTATGGCCAAAAGCAGCAGTTTCAAAGACTGGAAATACCTTTTGGCCTTGTGTGCCTGCCAAGCTGCTCTCCCACAACTCTTGGGCCATCTGTTGTCACCTGGTGTCCTCCTCTGGCCCCCATACTGGCTCCCTGCGTGATACTGAGGCAGTCCAGCAACCCCTCTTTCATGCCTAAAGGATCATCTTTGACTAAGGAGATTTTACTGCCTGGCTTAATGACTGCTCAGAGAGAGGCTGGTCACCTGCTTGGAGACCACTGCGTGTCTGTCATGTTATCTTGTCTGGCTGCCTGGACAGGAGGAACATATGGGGGCTGCTTAATTTTAAGAACGCTAGTACAGAGCAGGATCACAGGTGGTCCTTTTAGTGCCTCGGTGTGGGCTGACGGTGTGTGATGTTGGAATGACAATAGAGCACTGCAGCTGCATTTCAGTTGCTGGAAAAAAAGGCAGCAAAGCAGCGGCAAGCATTGCAAGGCACATCTCTGACATCAAGATGCTAAAGTGCCTCCTCTGTAGCTGGACAAAGGATGCAAAGCACCTGCCCCAAAACATTAGGATAAACGTCTTTGTATCTCCTCTTTCAGGTCTGGGTTTACAATGAAGATCATGAGCTGATTTTAAATAATCTCCTTTGCTTGGATGTTTCGGAAACCCGCTCATCCGATCCACCTCGTCTCATGAAATGCCACGGGTCCGGTGGCTCACAGCAGTGGACGTTCGGGGTGAGTGGAGCCGCTGGCTTATAGCATGTTGCTTGTAATTGATGTCTCAGTAAGTGACAACAGCACTAACAGGACTCTAGGATTGAATTTAAGTATGACTGAACCTCAGACATACCCCGTCAGTTGTACTGTCCCAGGCCCAGCCCACGGTCTAAGCAGCCTGTAAGAAGCTACGTGGGCTTTGGTGGCTGCATTGCAGCCTGAGTAAGACTTTTGCTGAGCTCTGGGACGTGCAGGTCCTTGTGACACAGGAAGGTTCTGCAGCCCCATTTTTCTGAAGCCTTTTTTCTGCTTCTCACAGCCACTCGCAGCACTGTGGCTCACAGGGATGTGCTGGAGAGAACAAGATCCACCCACAGCTCTTTGTTGTGTCATGGTTCCAGGACTGGGAGACAGGAGCAGTCCATGCGGTGATTTCTGCTTTGTGCTTAAAGAAGCACAGGGTAGAGCTGAGGATTGAGAGGAGCTTTTTTACAGTTGCTTCTGTCCTATAATAACATCTTGTTAGTTTAATCGTTCAGAGTCTGAAGTGGCCAATTTCCCCAAACTGAGCCATTGCTGCATACATATGAAAACTAGCTCCTGAGTATTAACTCAGAGGCTGCCCCCTCCCATGCCCTCTGCATAGCAGTGAGTCTGTAGTACAAACATCTCAGCTGAACAGAGAGGAGGGCACTGCCAGAACTGCCTGTTGCGCTTCCAGGACAGCTCTGCCTAAACTGTCTTGGGTTCCTACCGTGCTACGCTTTGGCAGCATGAGTTCCTAAGCACAGTCACATGAGGAAGGCTGTCGCAACCCAGGGTGGTTTAGAGATACAGGGGCAGATGCTGCCCGAGCCCAGCTCGGGGTTGTGCATGTCTGACTCTTGCAGAGATGCCTCGCAGCTCTGCTGCCACCTGTACCAGCAGTGCCACAGCCGCGGCCGCAAATAGTAGTGGAAGTACTGAGTGGAAAAATTTTATTGCCATAAGAGATTATTCGGGGTTCTGCAGTTTGAGTCAGCAGACAAAGATTTTGCAAGGCTGAGAGAACAGCCATTGAAATTCAATGCATGTAACTATTAGGTGATACCTGTGGTGGTGGTGGAGACTCTGGGCTTCATGTGTGAAATGTGGGCTTTGAGCTGGCCATTGCCACTGGCAGAGTGGGAAGAGGATCTGTAAGTGTCCCACGGGTGCTCGTTAATGATCAACAGCAAAGGAAAGTGAATCAAATGTTAGGATTGATTAGGAAAAGAGTAGGAACCAAAGCAGAAACATGTCGTCACACCGTTATGGTTTGCCCATACTTCACATGCTGGTCCCCTCCTCTCAGAAAGGCTGGATTAGGCTGAAGAAGGTTCAGAGATGGGTGGTGGGGCAAATCGAAGGTGTGGGACACCTTTCACATGAGGAGTATGTGAGCAGGCTGGGACTCTTCAGATAAGTGAAGACTTGGGGAGCAAGGGGAAATACGTTAGGTGTGTGAGGCACTGGTACAGGGGAAAGCCAGCTGTGCACTGTCGGTTAGAGTACAAGACTTGGAGAAGGGACGTATTCTGGAGGAGCGCTGTGTGTTCTTGCCATGTTCTCCTGCTTCGCCAGGCATCTGCTTATGGCCATGAGCAGTGACACAGAGCCTGGTGTGGCTGTTCTCACGTATCTGCTCTCTCCATGCAGGAGGTTGCTGCCCGTGGGAGCTGCTGGGGCTGTGCAGAGAGCATTCTCCAGACAGAAAAGGGGCCCCCAAAGCACCCAAATCAGCTGCAACAACCTGTTAGTGGGGGAAGATGACAGAATCCTCTGGGGAAAAAAAAAGAGGAGAAAGATCTGTTTCCTTCTCAGACTTGACTGGGGTTTGGCCTTGCCCTGGTCGTTGGGATGCACCATGCATGAGACCTATCGCCCTGTATGGCAGCCACCCAGCACGTGGGTGCTGAGGGCAGTGGCACTGCTGAGGCTTGGTCAGATGCAGAGCAGGAACCTGGCTGTGCTGCACTGTAGTCTTGCGGGCTCACTCCCTCTGCGGAGTGCTGGGGAATGGTGGTGATCATACTGGGGAATGGTGGTGATCATCCCTCCACCTCATTAAGAGACTATGGTATAAGCAAAATAAGAACTGGGTCCTTGTAAGGGCGCGAGAGTCTTTGTTTCAAGGCCTGGACGAGGTTATGGGGTGTGCTGTACTCTGGCTTTTAAAGGTCTGGTGCGTCAGGGAGGCTGCCGAAACGCTCACTTGTCAGGAAGGAGCATCCCCTCCCCTGAAGCATTGGTTTCGGCTTCAGTTTGACAGTAGAGTAGAATAGAGGTTTTAATCAATAATCCCATGTTTTTCTCTCTTCTCTAGAAAAACAACCGCCTCTACCAGGTCTCCGTGGGGCAGTGCATGAAGCTGGTAGATCCGCTTAGCCACAAAGGGTACGTGACCATGGCCATCTGTGATGGGTCCCTTTCTCAGCAGTGGCATTTTGAGAGCTGAAACAGTGATGATGTGGCTGAGAAGCATTAAGCCAAGACCTGATTCCCCTTCAGCTATGATTCCAAGTCATTCTGGAGGGCTTTGTGAGGAGCCCTCAGCTGCTACACCTGGCTCAGCCGTTGCAAGGACCGTTTAGAAATACTCTGCTATGAAGAGCTGTCTGCATGAGAAGATCCAGGTGGTCACCGGTCCCTGGTCAGGTGCAGCAGTACTTGCAGCAGCAGGACAACGTGTAGAAGTGCAATTTATCAGAAGTTCCTTGGATTATCCTGGATTATTGAACTGGTTTTAAGTAAGAGAAATTATTAGAGCAATGTAATTTAAATTGTGAGATTTTAGCTTTGTGGATCTTTTAAATGACAAATGACAGAAAGGAGTCCTCTTCAAGTATTTCATGTGCAGTGTCTCATTAATTTACGTTTTTAGTATGGTTTTACTGGCCAAATTGTTTTACTTTTCCTGGAAAATATTTTTATTCCCTTTTATCTTCTGAAAATTGTCATTTGTAATATTTAAATTCAGTTGTTTTAATTTACGATTTTAGGACATTTCATGTAGTTTAAATTCCAGCTGTCATTCGTCACCTCATATTTAAAACAAAGTAACTATTACAAAGTCTATTTTGATGACTCATGGCAGTAGCTGCATTTAAAATAAAGTATCGTTTTTTTATTAAGCTGTACGGCCTTACTCTTTGTAGCTGTTGGACCAGAAAGCACCAACTAAGAGACTGAAGCAAACTAATGTTCACGTAATTTGGGTCTTCCCTTGTTTTCCCTCCCTTTTCTTCACAGCTGGCTCTTTACCTCTCGCACGTCTTGGAAGGTTTGACAGATAATTTATATATATATATTTTTTTTTCCCCCCTCCACTTCTGTGTTTTCCTTCCCAAGTTCATTTATTTCACTGTTTACCTTTCTTTGACTTCCTGCCTCAGGCCCGGATGCTTCTTCCGTGCGTGGAAGCTGCTGCAGAAGATTCTTACCCAGCGTATTTTTCTCTTAGCCGTGTTGGCATCGCTTATCATGCCGCAGCGACCTGCCTGCCCTGGGAAGCGTGCAGTTCAAACGCCGGCAGTGCGTTTTCCAACTGCACAAATACTCCAGCATCCAGTTATTGACATTTGGGCAGCATGAGGCAAATAACGATAATGTTGGGATAATGATAGACCCACGTCTTCCTGCGGAGAGGAGAGATTCACTTGTGACAGATTGTGTTCGGTGCTTCGGCAGTCTGCCAGGGCAGCCACCCTGGGACGAGAAAGGAGGTGGAAGAAAGGAGGTGGAGGAAGAAAGCGAGCAGGTAAGAGAGGTCCCCGGCTGCTGCACAGGTTCTTGCCTCGTTCAGCATTCCTGGAAGCAGTGAGTCATGGGAAGGGGAAACCAGTTAAGCAGGGTTTAATTGTAAACCAGAACAACAGGCTGATGTGGAAGTTCTTCCAGATGAAGCATTACAATGGGAATAATTGCCAGGCACCAGCCAAGTCTGTGCTACCAACAAGCCTCTTAAAAACCAGCCCCCTTCAGCAGCTGTACTTCAGCCTGTGTTGTGCCCTTGTAGGGGCACCCAGGGCCTGGAAATGGGTTCCCAAACGGGCTGTTGCAGCATGGTGCAGCGCTGCCTGGCCCTGGAGGCTTGTCAGCTCACAGCAGCCTCCTGCTGAGCCCTTTCAGCAGCAGCAGGGGTGGCCTGAGACCAGCCAGCACAGTGTGCAGCTCTGGGGGTGGCTCTTGGGGGTTGAATTCATTGCAGTTCTTGCTGGGGAGGCAGGATGGGCTGCAGCTTCATTTACACTCGGCTGCTTAACCCCGACTGCTCCCACGAGCCAAGGTGAAGCAGCGGTGGGGGCTGGAACAGCTGCTCCCAGCTGTGTGCTGGGCTTTCCTGCAGGCTGTGAGATTGGTGTTGGCTGTCACATTGGCTGTGTGGTAGCCTCACTCTGCCTTTTTCTTCTGTGGCCTTTATGTGGTCTTTTTAAAAAATAACAAAATCAAAAACCAAACAAATCCTCAAACAGGCAAAGCAGAAGCTCGCTTTATTTGCGGTCTGAGTCTGTTGCCACAGAGAATTTTTGACCTTTTGCTCCTGGTGAGGAAATTTGGAGGCTGCTGTCAAGAACAATTCAATACGTGTGGTCTTTAAGCCTGCAATAATAGACAAGAACATAGAATTGATGAACCATTGAGTTGTAGACGGATTGTTCCTTTATAAAGAAGATTCTACTTCACTCTTGTATAAATAATACACTTTTTTTTAGAATTAGTGATACCCAGACTTGCAGTGCTGCATGTGTGGGCTGAGCCCTCCCATGCCAGCCGTGCCATGCTGCCGCCAGGACCTGGGCACCGGTGCCACTTTCCAGGAACAGGTGGAGGTGGCGGCATTTTGGATGGCATCAGTCATTTCTGCAGTGAGTGACTTTCAGCTGAAGCTGCATTTGTTCAGTGCTGCAGCCGCAGAGCCAGGTCATTGCATCCAAAATTTGAACAAGTGAGGCCAATAAATCTATCCAGTGAACCACGCGGTCCTGAATCAGTCGACCTCAGCTGGGCCCTGCATGGACTCTGAGATTCGGTGGAAATTTGATTTTCTTCCTGTGTTTGAGTGACCGCTCACTGCTGACCCTTGGGAGTTTGGGGTGCTGGTTGACAGCTGATTGAACATGAGCCAGCAGTGTGCCCAAGCAGCCAAGAAAGCCAACGCAATCCTGGCATGTATCAGAAACTGTGTGGCCAGCAGGAGCGGGGAAGTGATTGTCCCCCTGTACTCAGCACTAGTGGGGCCACACCTTGAGTATAGTGTCCAGTTTTGGGCCCCTCACTTCAAGAAGGACGTTGAGGTGCTGGAGCAGGTTCAGAGAAGAGCAACAAAACTAGTGAAGGGTTTAGAGAACTTGTCCTAGGAGGAGCGGCTGAGGGAGCTGGGCACGTTTAGTCTGGAGAA